TAAATACAAATAAGGGCCTGAATTAAATAAAGCTGTCTGAAAATAAACACACAGCTAGAGTAAAGTAGACGGGGACTTCAAAACTACGGACGTCGTACAGTTATACCTCAAGTCTCCTCTGAGTAGCTGAAATCCGAGCAAGTCTATGGAGTGCCGCTGGGACCAACTCCAAAATATGCACAAGAAGTGCAGAGTGTAGTATCAGTACAACCGACCCCATATACTGGTAAGTGCTAAGCCTAACCTCGACGAAGTAGTGACGAGGCTAAGGCGGGTCACTTACATTACCTGTACGCAATATTAGTAACAACAATAATAGAAATAAATCAGGTAACTCATTTATAATAATTGAAGCCAATTCAGCAGTCATGACCAAGTATCATTTCTATTAATTCTATTGCAGCGTGCAACCCGCTCTCACAATATATTCACATTCAATTCTGTTGCAGCGTGCAACCCGCTCTCACAATATATTCATTTTCAATCCTCTCATATAATTATTTTTAATCAAGTATATATATTGACTTTTAAATAAGTCTATTGCGGCGTGCAATCCGATCTCCCAAATATTGACTTTTAATAAGTCTATTGCGACGTGCAACCCGATCCTCCAATATAGACTTTTTAATAAGTCTGTTGCGGCGTGCAACCCGATCCTCCAATATATCCATTTCAATCAATTCTGTTGCGGCATGCAACCCGATCCTCCAATATATCCATTTATCAATTCTTATAGAAGAAATTTTCCCACTAAATACAACAATTAATATAAAATTATAAGACAACAAGCATACAATAATTATGATTTAATTATGAAACAAATAATGATAAATAGCAAATTATTATGAAAATCAGGGAAAAAATAGGCAGCTTAATATTTAATATGCTAAATGTCAAATAACAATTAAGACACATAATTCAAATAGCATGTAACAATTAATGCAGGAATTCAAGAATTAATATTTGACAAAGAATAGGAGAGAAACAATTATTATAACAATCAATTCGTGTATTAAAATAATTTTGGATTTTCAAAATAATTATGCAAACAATTAATTTGATGACGTATAGACACTCGTCACCTCACCTATACGTCGTTCACATGCTTTTCACATAACAAATAATTTAAGGGTTATATTCCTTCAAGTCAAGGTTAACCACGACACTTACCTCGCTTTGCAAATTCCAATCAATTACTCGACCATAGCTTTTGCTTTTAAATTTGTCTCCAAAAGCTTCAAATATATTCACAAATAATTCGATATACTCAATACGAATCATAGAAATTAATTTCATATGAATTTACTAATTTTTCGGATAAAAATCCAAAATTCATTTAAATATTTGACAGTGGAACCCACGTCTCAAATCTCGGAAAAACTTACAAAACTCGAACACCCGTTCTGATATGAGTCCAACCATACAAAATTTATCAAATTCCGGTGTCAAATGGACCTTCACATCTTAAATTTTTATTTTTGGAAGATTTTATAAAAATCTGATTTTTCTTCCATAAATTTATGGATTCATGATATAAATGAGTATGAAATGATGAAATATAATCAATATAGGATAAGGAACACTTACCTCAATGTTTTCCTATGAACATCGCCCAAGAATCGCCTTACCCGAGCTCAAAAATTGGAAATGGTTGAAAATGGGTCGAAACCCCATTTCCAGAACTTAAGTTCTGTTTTTCAGATTTTTACCCTTCGCGAACGCGGTCAGTGCCTCGCGTTCGCGAAGTACAAAATTTGTGCTGCCCAATTTTACTCTTCGCGAACGTGAAGCTTGCCTGGCTTGGCCTTCGCGAACGTGAGATGCCCTTCACGAATGCGAAGGCAATTTCCTGGTTAGCCTCTTTTCCTTCGCGAACGCAAGGCTTCGATCGCGAACGTGAAGCTTTGCACCTCAAGCCTTCGCGAACGCGTTCACTCTGTCGCAAACGCGAAGCATAAAACGTGCCAGCCCCAATTTTCTCTTCGCGTTCGCGAGAGTACCTTCGCGAACGTGAAGAAGAACACACCAGAAGCCTGAAGTCAGCAGAAAACCGGATTTCCTAAGTCCGAAATCATCTCGTAGCCCATCTGAAACTCACCCGAGCTCTCGAGGCTCCAAACCAAACATGCACATAAGTCCTAAAACATCATACGAACTTGCTCGCGCGATCAAATTGCCAAACTAACACCTAGAACTACGAATCAGACACCAAATTAAAGGAAATTTTTAAGAAAATTTTAAAACTTATATATTTACAACCGGATGTTCGAAACACGTCAAATCAACTCCGATTCTCACCAAATTCGGTAAATAAGTCATAAATATTATAGTGGACCTATACTGAGCTCCGAAACTAAAATACGGATCTGGGGTCAATAAATCCAACATCAGTAATTTCTTAAAAATTATTAAACTTTCAAGCTTTTAATTTTTTATCAAAATTCCATATCTCGGGCTAGGGACCTCGGAATTCAATTTCGGGCATACGTCCAAATCCCAAATCACGATACGGACCTACTAAAATTGTCAAAATACTGATCCGGGTCTGTTTGCTCAAAATGTTAAACAAAATCAACTCAGTTGAGTTTTAAAGCTCTATTTCACATTTTAATCTATTTTTCACATAAAAAATTTTCGAAAAATTGTACGGACTGCGCACGCAAGTCGAAAAATGATAATTAGTACTTTTTGAGGTCTTAGAATACAGAATTACTTATTTAATTTAAAGATGACATTTTAGGTCATCACAGATATTCATTGGAAAAAGTGTATCAATTGTTTCAGCCACTGTTGTCCGTTGAGTAAACGTCAGCCTCAACCCATGTAGGTGTTAAACCTCTCCTTGTTTTGGCAAACAATAAAGTTCGCCATAAAATATAATCCAAGCTCCTTAATTTGTGTTTTGAAAAGAAGCAAAACTGACTTGCCAATAGAAGCATGTATCCGATCACCCTACAAAGAAATTACATTAAATATTAAAGATTACAAATTTATATAGTAATACTAATTTATATTACTATGCTTGAATACTTGAATTTATATTAATACTACTTTTCAACGGTAGAGTTGAAGAAATTAATAAGTCAAAAAAATAGAGCAAAAACTCCAGATTTGCAACTTAAGGATTCGGTACTTCCCACAAACGGATAACCCGAACTTTCAACTTCCATTGCATCTTCGAAATTGTTATATCCTTGATGAAATCAATGTGAAGCCATCTATTGCATAAGCCGTAAGTTTTCTTGAAATCTTGATAGCAGTAGGAAGATTAGAATTGAAGTACCGTGTATTAGTGAAAGAAATATAAGTTTGCAGTTTTGAGCAGTTGTTACCCAGTATAGTGGATTTCAATCGTGACTTTCAATCGTAATTTAGATAGTTGAGGATACTCTGACTATCGTGATTTTGCAGAGATAATTTAGGACAAGTGGAAGGTAAAAAGTTTTTACCTAATATTGTGGATTAAACGGTTTTCACATGTAAAATCATTTAATATTTAAAAAAATTAAAAAAATTTGAAAGTTCTACCGAATTTTGTACGACAGTTTTATTGCAAATAAAGTTTTAGTTCCTAATTAGTTGGAGCAATGTCTTAGAGTGCCAAGTGGCATATTGGAATGATGCCACTTGGCTTAATGATCGGAGTTTTTCTTTTGCTTTTAACTATAGATTATCAATCTCCGATAAGTAAAGGGCAAACCTTCAAGGCTAAGTCAAAAGTCTCGCCCAATGACCGGGAAAACTTGTTAAACTTTAAGTTTTGCCCATGGGACAAGCGGTATCAAAAGTTCAAGACCACCTAGTACCTTTTGTATACTTCACCCATTTTAACATGAATGAATGTATAAGGCAGGTCCACAACATATTTACATAATTGGGCTGACAAGCATCCAATATCAAGCCCAGAACACTAAGCCCGTTAAGTAGCAACCTTAATTTCTATATCATTTGAGGTGAACGATTTTTCACTTATACAAATAGCCGGTTAGATTCACTGTTTACTTTTTTTAGCTAGTGTATATTCATTATATATTGATTAAACATGATTATACATATATTATATATTTGCCGGCTATTTTTAGTTTAAATGGTTGGGTGGGTGACTATTTAGGTTAATTCTTCAAAATTTATTATAGGTCGAAATTAAAGATAGGAAAGAAAAGTTTAATAGTTTAAACTAAAATATGATGGAAAAGTTTACATAAATAACATGCTAAATAGGTTGATTACATAGAAAAATTGAGGAATATTCTGTAATTAAGTGGAGCAGCTTGCAAATAGCACTACGGTTTTGTTAAAGTAGGGATCAAGGTACTAAACATTATTGAATTTCAATTGGGATAAAGATGGTCGGACATATTAATGATGCGTCAAATTGGATAAAGGTGATGCCAAAAACATATATTACGTACACAATCAAATTATAGTAAATTGTCATAATTATGGCAACTATAAATATCATGACACGTAAAATTACACTTGTCGTATATAAATTCGATAGGATAGAATTTAAGTTTAACGCACTGACGGGGCAAAAAAGAATTACACAATCCGATCATTTATAAAGTAATTATAGATAAATTTCTTCAATAAATATTAACTATTACTATGTTAAAAATGGAAACTATACATCGATAATTATCGGAATTAAGCTAAGGAATTATAAAAAAGATTTACACAATTAGAAGGTATGTTATAGGTAATCTTTACGATAAACATGCATTAACTATTAATATGTTAAAAATGGAAACTATACCGTGCTATGACATGTAAAATAACACATTGATAGTTATCGGAATCGAGCTAAGGCATTATAATTTGCCTATATAAATAAACCATCCGTCTTTAACCAACATTATCATTACTCAAACCATATTATTTCACATATAATACCAAAGCTACCGAGCAAAACAGTGTTGTTACACTCATTCTCTCATGGCTAAACTGATTAGTTTAAGTGTGTATTTTCTTTTGCTCCCTATCTTTCTTTTGGAGTTTAGGTTAAAGCTACTGTGTTCTGCCGAACTCGTAGGCAGAACTGCAGCTCCCACCCTGCTTAGCGTAACCCTATCTCAAGCTGAAAATGCTCATAAGGAGATTTTAGCTATGAATATAAGTTCATTCAATGAGTTAGGGAAGTTGGCTTGGGCTGATTGCTTAAAGCTTTATGAAGATACTTTTTATCAACTTAACAAATCCATCAACAACTCTGGTAAGACAAATGATGTTCAAACATGGCTAAGTGCAGCTATGGCTAATCATCAAACATGCTTAAATGGATTCCATGATTTCCAATTATCATCACATTTGGAGAAATTTTCCTCTGTGTTAAATGATTTCTCCGAAAACCTTTGCAACTCTCTTGCCATAAACAAAGCCACGGCTATACCTTCAGCTTCACTATCAACAAATCCCCAACTTAAGGGCCGACGTTTACTTAGGGGCGGAGTTGCATGGTCTGAAGCGGGTTCAACTGAATCTCATACCGGTAAGAAAATGTGAATCCCCTTAAACATGGGGGAAATTGTTAGTATATTGGTAAATAATGTGATTCTAAATTTTCTTTAAGTCGAAAGTTTGAATTCCAAGTGTTATATTCTTAGTTCTAACATAATTTATAAATTTCCTTATTAGGATTCCTGACTTCACCCGACAAGAAACCTTTACAGCAAGGAACTCCAATAAAGGCCGATATCGTGGTGGCTCAAGATGGTTCTGGGAATTATCACACTATTTCTGAAGCTTTAGCTGCAGTAAATAGCATGAGGAATGGCACAGGGAGATTTGTGATATATGTGAAAAGAGGTAATTATACAGAATATGTGGAGATCGAGAATACTATGAATAATTTGATGTTCATTGGAGATGGGATTGATGCCACAATTATCAGTGGCAATAGAAGTAATGGTACTGGCTATTCAACTTTTGGTTCTGCAACTTTC